CAAAAAAAAAAAAAAAAAAAAATCTGCAAATACAATCGAAACCTTCACTCAGAGTCAGAGAGAGTACAATGCTTCGTTAACTGTCTTTCTCTCCCCCTCACTCCTCGCCTCTCTCTCTACAAACCTATGAATCACTTGTAGTTACGCAGGTGCGCAGATTTCGTTACACGAAACGGCGATGCTCTCTCTTTCGCTCTTGCGGAGTGGCTGCAATTCGTGATTGCATCACTCATTGTTCCTTGCGGAACGTGCACCGGAGGCTGATACCGACGCGAATACCGTTCGTGGAAAGATCGAAGTACCGCTCCAATTTACGCACGTACACTTAAGCCGATATCCGCACCCGTTATAATCGCACCCGTTATAATCAAGAGAACTCGTTCGCGGCGAGGAAAAGGAAAACTCGCGGACCGGTATATTTTTTTCTAGATTCCACCGTCCGGTTCGTCGCGGCGCGCCGTCCTGTAAGAGGTACCGTCTGGTCGAGATGACAAATATTCCTTCTTTTACAGAAATGTTTATCGGACATTTTATACTTTATTTACCTGCCATTAATTCTCTCTGTAATTAATTGAAAGGGTGTTATTAATATCTAGAAGTAATCTAACTCAAGTCATGTCTGTTTAATGTGATAAAAAAAAAATTATTAAAGAGTAATCCTCTTGTTTTTATCTTCAAGGATACTTGTAGATAATATTATTGCTCACTGTCGTAGCTTGCAGCTTGCAATTAATTTTGATATGAAAGGAAGAGTATTTGCATAATTACGATGAGTAATTATCCAAACTGTGAACGATGTAGTAGAATTCCTTTAAGTTAACGTAGGATTATTGAAATTTTTTTTATATTACCATAATTTATATGCTATCGTAATTATTGTAATCCAACAAGCACAGAACACGCTGTAAGCAAAAGAAAAATTTGAACTAGAAAAAAGAAAATTCGTGATCTCGCTTAATTATGCTCTTTAAAAATCGAGTGAAATGTCTTAAAATTCCGGAAAGTTATTGTGCCAAAGGAGATCTATTTAAAATCCGCAAGGAAATTCTTTTGTAGTCATGAAAAAAATGCAGCTCGGAATCTACACATTTTGGAAACTCTCGTAATAAATTTTAAAAAATTCGTGGAAAATTAATACATGATGTTCTATGTGTCTATGCTAATTTGGATGTGAAATATGAGTGAAACATCTGTGAAATCGACCAATTAAATGCAGAAAATTGTTAAATATTATGTTGTACGATTGTTCAGATGATTATTTCATTTAATCCAAATTATTTGTCACGGAGAATCGCCGTAAAAAATTGTTTCATTAATTGTTTCAAAAATTGTTTAGCTAATTATAGGTGAACTTTTTGATTTAGCAAAAATCTATCGCATATTTTCATCAGGCTAATGACAATGGTTGTTGACAATTCTAATAATTGTTCAATGGCAGGTTTGATGAATTCAATAAGTACGTGTAAGTATATATACATCAAGATTGACATCAACAATTTAGAGTATTTAATATTTATCCGAATGTAAAGGAATATTTTGATGTGTTTCCATTGATGAATAAAAGACTGATGTAAACATTCTTTTTGCGATTGAGATTAATCGATGAATTAAAAACTCAACCGTAATTATTGTGATCTGTTTACAGATAACGATTGTTTTAAATAACGATTATATCTTCAATTGTAGTCAGCTATTTACATTAACAATATTATATTTTATTATTATTTTTGAATATGAAACAAAAATTGTTTTCTTTTACTTAAACAACATGCTTATCTAAAAAATATTTTAAAAATATCTTAGTAATAATTACAAGATCTTTAAGAAATTTTAAAGATATTATAATGTTTTAATGATGCAATATAAGAAATAATATAGAAAAGTTAATTATCAATTCGCTTCAATCTTCTCTCTCTCTCTCTTTCTGTGTATGTGTGTGTCTTTCAGTTTGTTTATATTTAATCAATTTTTACATCTGATTAATTTGTGTTTCGCAGAAAGAGAGAGAGAGAGAGAGAGAGAGGGGGGGGGGCAGGATTATAATTGAAAAATTTCCTGTCGCTATCGCAATGGCAGTATTATAGATCATTCAGAGCTTAAGCTTTCCAATGCAATAACAAACATCATAATCAATTAATGGACAACCCACGATAACCCACGATATCGCAAGGTGTCGCGACCTAAATACTCCTCATGAGTCGCTGTGGAAGTTTCTTGCCGAGCAAGTCTTAGTTATATATCGATTTAGTTATACACTCGCTTTTCCTACAGATCGCATATTTTGGCGCAACAAATAAAATCACGTGACATTTCGTCAAACCGGTTCCTAATTAGATCCCCGATCGAGATACGATCGGGGGATCCATCACAATTTTTCTCGCGATGGCAGGTAGAAGAAGCGAAGGGTAATGCGGCTACCGGCTCTACGATACGACGGGTACACGAAACTCGTTCCGGTTTCGCACCCGTTCGCCGATTTCGCAATTTTGGATCGCTCGCGGACGAGCGAGTGTCGGCTTGACCCGGAGAACGATCGATTGGCGCGGCATAAGTAACATTAACGGCCCATGATCGTCCTCTCCTCGTCATCGTCGGGTGCAAACGCATGAACCGCGTGCGGTAATAACACATACCTTGCTGCCCTGTGTGCGCGTGTGCGAATTATCCGAAAACTGATCGCGGCGACTCTTCGTTCGGGGAATCACCGTGGCGCACCGTGTGAATCAACCGGAACAATCCACCAGACAGAAGGAGGGAAGTAACCAAACGCACACCGGAATTTCTCCCTCGTTATCGTTATACACTCGCGCACAATTCGCCGCCAAAGTATTCTTTGTATTTTCCTCTCTCTCTTTTCTTTTTTTTTTTTTTCCCCCTCAGTATTCGAATATATACTTCCCGAATAGGAGGCGAAAACGCACGTCAGCGGCGCGCAGCGTGCACGCCTCGCTTCTGCGTCCGTTGGAGAACCGCGTTCCCTCTCACCGCGCGAACCGGCATGAAACAAGCAGAGATCCGCGCCAATGCCTCAGCGGCCACAGACTTGCTCCTCGTTCGCTTCGGGGCCGCTTCACGCGTAGCCCCTTCCCTTTACTTCACTCGCCCTCGACGTTCTCCCTCTCTGTCTCAAGACACGTTGTGTATACCCCACCCCTTTCAGGAAACGGGTTCCCTCACTCCGCCGCCCGTGGAAACAAGTTTCCCCTCTCCTAGACGACTGGCGAACAAGTTTCCCCACTCCACGTGGCAAACACGTTTCGTCGTATCTCGTGAATTCGTGATACGCTAGCGGGGCCTTGGGGGTTTTGTTTATCGCATATTTTGGGCCAGTTTCGTTCATTTTTTTGTCCCGTGCATGTGCGTGCATGTGTACGTGCGGGCGGGCACATGCGTGCGTATGTAACAGATTTTAATTAAAAAGAAAACAATGAAAAAATTCAGTATTAAAAATGCTTTCTATGGATTACGGATCACATATATATGATATATACACACACACACACACACACACACACACACACACACCATACACATATACATTATATGTATATATGTATGCTTCTATTGGAACCATGACCAATCGTAATTGTGAAATTTGTGAACAAATCTAAGTAACAAAAAATTGGTTTACATCAAAATTTAAAAAATATACTCATATATAACAATTGTTATTAAAAAATCCATATGTAACATAAATAAAGTCTGGACAAAAAATATCTGGATCAAATATCTTCAATAATTTATGTAGGGTTCATGTCGCGTCCGGCATCAACGTACAATAGCCAATAGAAGAATACTTTTATTAGAGACAAAAATTTATCTAAAAGTGCGATCCACTTGCTTGTTACAAATACTTTGAAGCATTTGATTGCATCCTATGAACCTTAAAAAATGAAATCCTCTATTGCATTACGGGATCGTATGTCGAACATCGGATGCGGTATGAATCCTTCATTAGGCTGATTCTATATAGGCTGCGTTCCGATATTCAATGCCAGTATTGAAAATGTATATAATATATGTGACACGAACTATATTTTTAGTACTGGCGGTGAATATCGGAACGAGGCCACAGTCAATCGTAAGCTCTGAAGAAATTGACCAATCATAGGCAAGTATTTTTATTGCGATCGAAAATAATAGACTGTGATTGGTCAATTTTTTGCGATTAAGTAATTAATATAGAAAATAAAAAAAATTAAACAATAAGAAAATTAATCAATCATATATCATTTCGATTATTCTACCACTGCGTTCAGGAAGTCAATTGTGTATCTTGAAGCAAGATGAAAATTACAAAAGTAAGGAAATTTACTAGCTTTCAGCATATAAAATTGCAGATACTCTAGTGAATTTCCCCACTTCTGTAATTTCCACTTCGTTTTCAGATACACAATTGACTTTCTGAAATCTATATCATTTATATTTCATGGTTTAGCGTGTTTATTGCTACATAGGTGTGACATGGGCACGTGTATTTTGCGTTATTTATAATATATTTTTGAACAAATTTATTTATTGATATATTAAAAATGACCAGCATAGATGTTCTTAATGATGTTATATCTATACTTGATAATATTCAATCATTAAAACAAATAAAAAGGTAAGTAAAAGATTGCGAAATTGAATATTATTTAATTTTTAACCTAAGATATTCCAGAATGAAAAAAATTGTTGCAAAACAAAACAGAAGAAATAAAGGATAACATTAAATTAATAAAAATTTTTAACAAAAATTTACATGCAAAATAATAAACCAAATTCAAAAAGCTTTACAAATTTATTTCAGACATAATCTTTTTTTTCAATTTTAGTGAGAAAAATGGAATCGACGTAACAGCCCTTATAAAACGTATCTACGACTTTACCAAAGAGCAATCTCATAAAAATGAGAGGTTTTACAGAAATATGAATGCATTACCAGAATTAGTCATAGAAGGATTTGATGAAGAACAAATTTGGCAGCAATTGGAACTGCAGAATGAGGGCGAGATAGCGCACTTTTTAAATAAGATATCAACAGTTTTATCAGAAAATAAAAAATTGGTGATTCCAGTGAGTTCAAAGAAACCTGAATCTATACAGATTGTAAATGATCATTCAGATCAAGAGGATGAAGGCATGTCTGAAGAGAAGGAATTTGAAGATGTAGAAGTTAAAAGTAACATGATAAAGAGAAAACATAAGAAGTCTTCTATTGTAGATGACAAATTTTTCAAGTTGCAAGAATTGGATGAATACCTAACAAAAGAAGAAAGAAAAGAGAAACAAGGAAAGGACAGTATTGAGTCTGATGATGAATCGGTAGATTTATTTAATGATGTTTCTGAAGAGGAAGATGAAGATAGTACTGAAAAGAAATATATAAAGTATGCAGATTTTTTTGATAGCCCTGAAAGTGAACATGAGAAATCTGATGTAAGCAAAAATTCAGATAGCGACGATGCTATTAGGAATTCTGGAGAGGAAGAATTAGAAAGCGAAGGTGAAGAAATGGATATTGATTCAGAGGACAAAGAGGATGAGGAGGATTACAAAATTAAGAGAGTGAGATTCAATCTTACTAATGATTCAGATGAGACAGATAGCTTGGAAAATAAAGTGAATTATAATAAGAAAGTTGAGGAAGTAAAAGTGCAGCAAGATACAGAGCCAGCATCTACTTTAAAAGCTGGTAAAAAGAGTTCACTGGAGAGGATTAAGGAAATGGAAGAGGAAACGATCAACGAAAAGCCATGGTTATTAAAAGGTGAAGTGGATGCTCCAAGTCGACCGCAATATTGTTTGTTGGAGGAGGTTTTTGATATCCCTACAAATGTAAAGCCAGCTCCTGTAATCACTGAGGAGACTACTATGAAGTTAGAAGATATTATCAAACAGCGGATCAAGGATAAAACTTGGGACGATGTTGAGAAAAAGTTTAAACCAGTAGAAACCCCATTGGAATATAAGAAGAAATTGATATTAAATCAAGAAAAAAGTAAGGAAAGCTTGTCACAAATTTATGAAAAGGAGTATCTGAGGCAAAAGCAAACATTAGATCCAGAGATTAATCAAAAGAAAGAAGAATCACCACAATTACATAATGAAATTCGACAAATGATGCGTTCTTTAATGCGTAAATTGGATGCGTTATCCAATTATCATTACACTCCTAAGATGGTAAGATTTATTATAATTAATGTTAAAATAAAATTTTGTAATATTTAATAATGAATATTAACAAACAAATGTATTTATAGAGATAGATATTTCCAAATAGAACTTGCAATTTTGTAGAAATAACGTTCTATTATTATGTTTATTTTGAGGCATTAATGGTTTTCAACATTTGTAATATGCATGGTTTTTGTTTTAGGCTAAACCAGAGATTAAAATTATTAGCAATATGCCTGCAATTAATATGGAAGAAGTGGCGCCTGTTACGACTAGTGATGCTACTCTGTTAGCACCTGAAGAAATTACAGGTACCTTATTATGCATAATTATGGTTTTAGTCTATGATACAATATCTTTTTATTTTATCTATTTTATCTAACTTATGTTTTTAGTCAAACCACGCGGTGATCTTATCGGTAAATCGGAACGAACGAAAACTGATAAGAAGCGCGAGAGAAGAAAAAAGAAATCTAAGCAACAAGCTAAACAGCAAGCAATGGAAAAGAAGGAAAAATTAAAAGCATTGCAACCAGGAATCGCGAAGAAGTATAAGAATAAGAAGGAAAAGGATGCATTGCTTAAGAAAATAACTAAAGATAGAAACATTACGAAACTTACTGAAACTACGCATAAAGTCACAAAGTCCTCGACTGCGTTTTTCACACAATTACAAGATCAAGTCAAAAGTAAAGTTAAAAAAGGTAGTTTATCCAAAAAGAAGACTGCCGCTACTTCGGCTGTAAAATTGAAATTGTAAATTTTATATTATATATTTAAACTTATCTAAATAAAATGTAAGTGAAAAATTTTGTTGATATTTTTTATCGTGTCTTTAAAAATTTCATACTATTTGTTTATTGTATTGTATTGTGTTATCATTGATTATTATTGTAAAAGAATATGTAAGTAATAATTTAT